AATAAGCTACAAGAGGCTGTGCTATAGTGTGAATACCGTCAAGCTGAAGGCTGTTGTTTGCCATTTTAGCCATGACTATATTTGCTTGTAGCCTTTTATTTATGTCTGTGCCAAGAAGCATGATTTGCTACTTGCTATTGCTAGAGAGAGCAGAAAGGACAATATCATTCAAGAGATCACTTGATTGGACAAGATGAGTTATCAATGTTTCAGTTCTATAAAGCCTATTGTATCATATATGAAACTTGATTTTCTAAGGCCTCTAAATGATCAGCATGATCAAAACTTTGATTTTTATGAAGTGAACTTGTAGAATAACTTTTACATTGTTAACAATATTAAAGGGGTCATGAACTGGCTTTTTAAACATTTTATACTGTTGTCTGATGTCTACTTATGACATTTGTGTGGTTTTTACATCAAAATCAATAAGTAATAGGCTATTTTCTACCCTGGTTTTGACGCTCAGTTTATATGGTTATGCCGCATTGAAGACTTGGAAGTAACCGCCCGCTGCTATGATTGGATAACAGTTTTGCATAGTAAACTAACTTTCTGTGCGTCTGTTTGACAAGCTACATCCTTCCTAGTTGGAGCCTTCTGTGACTTTGGTTAGACACGTACACATAATCAGGACATATCAAGCGATCTCTAACAAAGCAATAGTGACACATGGTACAAATATTTTTTTACTCGCATAAGTGTGCTGCGCCATTCCTGTCGGATCCAATATAGACGCACAACATTGCTTTTTAATCTCAGTCCCTCTGCAAATCCAGCGTCGAACTGTGTCTTGTTTACAAAGGAATCTGCGGTGAAATGAAGCAAACAAATGCTCAATGTTTTACTCACGTGAGCTGAATCTTATTTAAAATAAAGTTCAACCACGCATTCCTAATATTTGAATCCGAAGGAAGGTTATGCAGCAACTGTGTTCTTCCACAACCAGGCACTGCACAATATTTTGCAATCTTCAACGGCATGTTTATTGCTCGGTTGCTCGATCCGGTTTAGAGCCACTTATGTTATTTCCCTACTATGTCATGCGCGAATCAGTGGGCGGGGCTAGATAATTGGGTGTTGATATTCTTCTGTGGAGGCGGTGTTTAACCTATCTATAACGTCATACATAGGCACATTCCAGGATCTGGCGTTCGCTGGGCCTGGTGTCAATAAAAGCTTTTATTTCAGTAACAAGGACGTTTTCAGTTCTGAAATTTACAGGATATTCTATTAGTACGATGATCTCTTATATATCAAAAGCTCAAGTAAAAGTTGATTTCTCAATTCATGACC